GGAGTCCTGATGTCATGGTTCATAAGTTTGAGTCCTACGTTGCGCTCTGTGCTGAGAGCGCGGAGACGGCTGGGGACTCTCTCTCTCTCCTTCTCTCTGCTCCTTCCCGTGTGTGTGCGCTTGCTCTTTCTCTCTCAATTAAAAAGAAAAAACAAAACAAAACACTGTAGGTTTTGGTAGCAAGATTTGTACCCCCACGTTACAACAAAAACCAAGCAAGAGTGGAAGGATTTGGAAATATATGCAAAAACTGGAAAATCGATAGTGAACATGCAAAATATCAACTGCATTACTGTTAAGTCCTAATTTAAAGACAAAATCACTTGGCATCACAGCTAAGAGGAAGGACTAGCATGGTGACGTTTCAGTATGCCGTTTCTATTTTCATGTCTCCCATCAAAGTGATGGCCAGCAAAGCAAGTGTCAGGTGACAGATAATTTAAGACCCTTCTGAGGTCTGTAAACAGGTATTCATAGATGTAGATCATTTCATCCCAAGAATATACAGTGTGTGTGTGCTCTCTGCTGAGGGATGTGACAGTACAGGCCTGCACTAGGTTACAGATTCAGGAGTGGTACGGAGTCGTGAAAATTACAGAAACTTCTGGAACCTGAAGCTCTGCCATGGAAGCAGAATTGGAGAAGAGGGAAGAGCTTAGGCACCAGCTGATAATGGTGAAAATTCTCTCAGCTCCAAATCCTGTATTTTCTCTGAGGTGCAAGTGAGGATTCATTTTCTTCCTTAATCTTTGTAAGTTTAACATATCCCAGAGTAATATATCATTTTGATTTTCCAAAATACTCATTTTCCCAAAAGTTACAGTCTGTATGTTTGATGAATATAGTGTTTCCTAAGCTGAATTTTAAGCTTCAAAGATTATTTTTCTCTTTATTTGGCTATATACTAAAATGCTTAGGCTTTATAATTCTAAGCATGACATTAGCATATAAAATGCTGTTAAGTGAAATGGATAAAAACTGACAGAATCACCAATACAAAAAGAGAAAAGTGAGATGCAGGGCAGATGGTCTCTTTATGTATCTGGGCAATGATTCTCCATAGAGAATGGGTTTTGTTCTGTGCAAATCAGGTTAAGATTTAGGCCAGTTACGAATGAATGAGCTTTCAAAGGGACTTAACTGATATAGGTCAAGTACCAGAAGAGGCAGAGGTTGAGGCAGCATCTGTGTAAGCGGGACGGTGGGGGGGGGCATATTGGAAAAGATAATCAAAATTTCACATAATGCCCTCTTATCCTTAAAAATAGAGTGTGTGTTGTAAATTTTTCCAGGTAGGAAAAAGTATTTTTGTTTCTCTCTGTCCTAACACCATCCACGACATGTAGTAGAAGCTAAAAAGCTGGGTTTGTGTTTTTTTTGTTTTTTTTTTTTGTTGTTGTTGTTTTGTCTGGTTCATCTGAGAATTGGTAGGGAGTAAAAAAAATGATTTGTATATGTAGCCCAAAGAATTAGAGATATGTGGATAAATGCTTTATATTTGAATTATTTCATGTACCGTTGAGTCCTTTCAATATCCTATTAGGTGGACAAGTACCCTTGAGAAATAGAGAAACTGGTGCTCAGAGAGGCCAGGTACTCCAGAGCCCGAAGCCGATTCCATTTCCATCGTCCGGTGTCTTCTCTTCTGAAAGCAACAAAAGAACACAGTGCCCTGGTGCCAGTGTTCATGTGGCAGACCTTTCTCCGGCTGACTGTCTATGGCTCCTTACCACGGTGCAGCCTCCCTGGGTTTCCCATTCTCCATGTGTCAAATTCTAGAATGAGTCCAGCTTTTCCCCTTAAGTCTCATTTCAAGTCTAAGAAGTAATCATTAGTGGAATAAAATTGTATATCAACTCAAAAAGCACATTAATCCAAAATTGGAATTGGAAATTCCATGAACTCATGATATTTCTCTTTAGAAAATAGGTGCTTCTAAGCCCCCATCACAGAATAATCCTAGAGGGGGGTGAGAAGGCGTTCCCATGTCACAATCCCTGCCGCCACTTCCCGTTAAAGGAATCTCAAGGATCCTCACAATCATGACTCATCGAATTTCTGAGACAGCAGATGTACAAGATGGGCTATCACCCACTGACAGACCAGAAAGCAAGAAAGCTGAAGATGACCTGACACATAGCAAAAAACAAACAATAAATACTCAAGAGCCAATTTCAAGAACTCCCCCTGTGCAGAGATTGACAGTTTTAGTAGCAATGCGATAATAACGGCACCAGTGGAAACCCACCAGGTATGCTGAAATCTACCAATTCGCCGTAATACTTTTAAGGAAGGAGGAGGTCATTAATCACCTTTACAGCATACTAGGGAACAAATTTACTTGGAAAGCACATAAATAGAGGGAACTTAGGGGCATTTCTTCGGCCTTTTCTAAGTGAATGATGCCTCATGATGATCCAAAGATTGGTAATGGGAGTTTCTCCTTGGACATCCCTGTCTGCCTAGAAGTGAAGAAGGGTTAGTGGAATTAGATTCCTGTTGTGTGATTCTGGTGTGATAGAATCTCGTGGCTCCTCATCTAAAGAGAGACCCAAATACTGCGTGCCTACGTGTGAAAGCATACAGTGCCACCTTTGCAGGGTTTGTGCCAAAAATTCAATCTGAATCCAAACTCACCTCTGGATCCAGTTCCCAGGAATCCAGGGAATGGAAGAACGTGATGCCATGGGAATGGAACCAACCAGGGTGTGGTTTCTTTAGCAAATAAACTTCAAGGAAAACAGGAGCAAAAACCTATAAATTTAGGAGAACTAAGAGACCTATCAACAAACTGCAGCATGTGGGCTTTATTTGAATTATGGTTCCAGCAACAACAAAAACTTAGAACTAGGTGGATAATGGAGAGAAGAGGACATTAAGGAAGTACTGTTGGGAGAGGATCTGAGATGGTGACATGGGAAAAGACCCTGACTCCCCTCCTTCACAGACACACATGGAGTCAACACCGATGCACCGGGCCAACCGAGCAACATCTCTGCAGGACAGAGGATAGAAGGACCATGGAGAGAAGAGCAGTCCCCACTGCCATCCACACCTGGAGGGCCGGCCCTGAGAGATGCTGAGCAGATTGGTCTACCCTGGGACACAGGAACGAGAGCCGTCATTTGATAGGGCAGCTATGGTTTAAAGGATCCAGGCTTGCAGTGTCTGCCTAATAGCAGGAGATGCATGGACCTCTCTTGTGGATTTGGGGGGGGGGGGGAGCTGGCTGGAGCCACTGTAACGTTCCCCTTCCACATTGACAGCACAGATGGGCACAGGCTATGGGGGCCCTGGCTAGCCAGCTGCTGTATCGAGTCACAGATCCCCAGCCTCCACCAGCCCCAGCCGTCCCAAGATGGCCCTACCATGGCACACAGCAGGACATGCTCTGACAACACCCATCATGGCTCCAGATGTCTTGCCAAGGTGACGCAGGTACCCACTTCAGCTCCGCATGACTCAGCAGGCAACCCTTGTGTGAGACACCCTGGGGTCTTCCAGCCCCTCCCTGCTTCAGCAGCACCTGCCCTGCCAGGAGCCCCCAGCCAGGTTACCTTCAGCTCCCGCCGTCCCATCAGGGGGATACTGGTGAGAGATGCCCCAGGACCCCAGGCTACAGTCCACCTCCACATAGTCCACCAGAGCCATGCAGTCTACTGGGTACATGCAGTCTACCCACGGACCATGCCCACAGGGGCCTTTCTTTGAAGACTTCTAAAAGCTTTCCATGTAACCCATAGGAAGTCAGACAAAATGAGGCAACAGAGGAATACATTTCAAATGAAAGAAGACATATCTGCAAGAAGAACTAAACAATCACAAAGCTGGTGTGAAGGTTCAAAGAGCTAGTAAACTCAATCACATATAGAAAATTAGTTAAGGGACTCACAAAATAGATGAAACAGCGCGTGTCCTTTGGGAGTGCGTGTGAACCGGAGCGACCATCAAGCTGATACAGAACGCTCTCTGCATGTGTTGTTTCAACCCAGAATGTGGATCGTGTGACTCATCGATGAGACCCGGAAGATGAACGCGATGCCACCACAGCCCCCCTCTCAGCTTCAGCGCCTGTCCCTGCACAGAATCCAGGTCTGGCCACGGTGCCACGTTCAGGTACCTTTTTCGTCTGGGCCCGTGGGGGTCCCCCTCTCAGCCTTGGCTCTCTGGTGACTTTCCCCCATGCCGGGCAGGAGGGCATGTTTGCCACAGGTGGACTTCTGGAGATGGTGGGCCTCAGGGCCACAGCAGCCCCACAGTGTGAGGGGCTCACCATGACGCTTTCCAAGTGATGACGTCCCTTCATCATCTCGTTTCCATGGCCGAGACCAGAGAGCCCAGATGGCAGTATGTTTAGGGAGTTCTCCATCTCACAGTCACCGGAGACCAAAATCTATAGTAAAAAGACGAAACACACACCAAGGAAGAACTCCAGCCTAACACTAAAGAATGCTGTCAGTCCCGCAAGAGGACAGCCCTGGGGGCAACAGAGAATGACAAAAACAACCAGCACACAATTAACAAAATGGCAGTAATCTGGGCCCCTGGGTGGCTGATTTGATTGAATGTCCAGTTCCTGATCGAATCTCAGGTCACGATCTCACATCACAGTTCATGCGTTCAAACCCTACATCGGGCTCAGTGCCAACAACCTGGCCCCTGCTCGGGATTCTCCCCCGAGCCCACCCCCGCCTTCACCTCTGCCCCTCCCCTGCTCTCGCTCTCTCTCTGCCCCTCCCCTGCTCTCGCTCTCTCTCTGCCCCTCCCTCAGTTACTACCCTTGCCCTGCTCATGCTGCTCTCTAAGTCAACCAATTTAAAAATAAAAGCACATTTGTAAATGATTGTTACAGCTGGATCATGGGGTTTATGATGCTAGTGTTAAAACATTTCCTAATATATTAAATCTTATTATTTGGGAGAGTTTTCTTTGCTTCTCTACTGCTCTGCTTCAAAACAGTATATTGCCATATTTTAAAACAAAGTCATTCTTTTTTGCAGGGTGCATACGGTCCCTATTCCCCTGATGAGTGCATATCTTTGCCTGTTTACACGAGTGCTGAGAGGGATCGTGTGGTGACCAACATTGACGTTCCGTGTGGGGGCAGCCCGGACCAGTGGATTCAGTGTGGAGCTGCTTTGTTTCTAAAAAATCAGTAGAGTCTAACGACAGTAAAAGCTGTATTAGCAAAAAAAGAAACATTTGCTACTTTAAACTTTGAATAAATATGTGGCCAGTCTGCATTTAAAATGTTCAAAAAATTATCACATAGCTAAGTACCTTATGTTACTGATCTCCTTGGGTTGTGTAGTGGGTCATGACAGACCACGCAACTTTCAAGCGATAGTTTAATGGAGTTAATGTTAAATGGAGTATTCCCTTCATAACATTAAATATTTTTGTGAAGCAGTTCAGGTTTCCAGGGGCTCAAAAATTTATGTACGTAAGAGGTTGAAAATGGTGTCCTTAAGGAATCAGTAATTAATTCTTTGTATCCTAATTTGTGTTAATAAAATAGAAGACCAGTTTTTCATTTAAACACTTAAAAATATATTCTATTTTAGTTAAAATACACAGCATCTCGGAGTAATCCAGAAGAAATGGGGCACGACGGCACAGAGGGCAGGAGGAAAATTTTATAAATGGACTAAACAATGAGAAGTTACAATTTCTCACGTATGTGGCCGTTTGCCAGCTGTTTCTATGAAACAGGAAAATTCTACAATGTCTGGAAGCTTAAATAAATATATTTTATGGTGTAATCTTTGAGTTTCTGAGTGATTTGAATTGAATTCAGAAATGTTAACTACTTTTAATTCTATCACCGTGTGTATGGTCAGATCAGGAGAACAGCCCCAGGATGTCAACAGTGAGCTCACTCTAAAGGACAAAGGGAGACCAGGACTGTGAAGGTGAAAGCGCCACGGCTGTGGCTGGGCTGCAGGGAGCCACCGGGCAGAGCCAAGCCCACACGGCGGCCGGGCCTCCCAGAGCCTGGCTCCCACCTGCTGGAGGTGGTCTGCCCGCCCGGTGTGGGGGGGGGGGGTGTCATCCAGGGGTTTCCGGTTTCCTGTGACTGCTGCAGCAGGGACCCTTTGGGCGAGCCCCCCTGGCGCCCCTAGAAGCACCCTCTCTAACAGAGAAGCAGGAGGAGACTTCCCACTCCTCCATGGTGTTGGAGATCCCAGCCAGCACAACACAGAGGTGAAGGGGCAAAGGCACCCGGAGGAAAGTGCGTTTGGCAAGAAGACGGTGGGCCGCAAGCACCTTCTGCCACCAGCCCTGCAAACACATGCACACAGAAATCAGTTTCAAGAGCAGAAAGTGAACCTGCCTTAACGTGTTTCCAACCAAATGTTGTTCAGAGGTTTGATTTTTCTGAGGCTTTCTACTGTCCTTCCAGAAACAGGTGTGGGGATGGAAGTGAGAAAATGCAACAGACAGACCCCTGCAGTCACCCCCCATGGCTTCTCCCATTTGACCCGCATAAGCCTCATTCAGTGTGGTCGGCATGACGTTTGGGCTCTGTGTTTCCCATCCTCCTCCTCGGGAAAGTGTGCCCACAGACGAGTCCTGGGAGGAAGGCTGCGCGAGGCCCTGGGGACACGGCCCTGGGGACGCAGAGCCACACTCCGAAGCACCTGAAACCCAGAAGATCAGCCCTTGGGCTCCTCGTCATGTCGGCATCGGGGAGCAGGAAGTGCACGGCCCGTGCCCTGGTTTCTGCCACTTGCTTACGTCCGAACTCAACACACGTTTATTCAGTCAATGGCTAAAGCTGCTTCCGGACAGCTTAACCGTCAGATCTGTCTCCGGATTGTTTTAGGTCGTGCCCCCAAATCAAAACCATCCTCAGAGACTGTTGTCCATCGCTAGAGACAGCTGAACACTCTCCAGAATTCCCAAGGACATCACAGAGATTCCTTCCAAAACATCTGAGTCACTTAGGGCAGCATCATTGTCCCTGTGTGATCGCTGTGAAAACACAACCACTTTCCCTGTAGCCCTTGAATAAAAAAACTTTGGAAATTAAAAGGATGTTGGAGATGGTCTGGTTGAATTTTTATCTTATTCTGACTTTATCGTTATACCTTCCTAAATGCTTCACCGACCCTTGCACAGTAGGAGGGAAATTAATTCTCAAAGTTTCATGAAAGAGATGAATTTTGTGCTGGACAATCACGAATCTACATTATAAGGAGCAGAGCATATTCCTGCGAGGGTCCAGAAGCTCCAGCCAGTTCCCTGCCTTAGTGTATCTGGAGCCTTTCCAGATGGCAAGACTGAAAACTTCCCAGTGGATAAATGAACATACTCAAATACTTAAGTGGTTGCTGTAAAGACAAGAAAAACCCAAGCAGAGGGGGTTGGGGAGGAGAGTCAAGGCCTCATAGCTATTCCCTACATGGAGACAAGCCGGTCAATGTTTGGTGTTTACAAAATGCAAGAGTGAGTATCAACCAGAGTATTCTGCTGCAACCATTACCCATTCTGATCATTCTGTGCCTGATTGGTCTTCTCCTCTTTTCTAGTTCCTGAGAACTACCGCTAAAGGGATCAAGTCAATAGAGGAAGGTCCAAAGGTAAAAGCAGAGATAAGGAATTTGCTAGGATTCAGCACCGTGGGTGGATGATCTTTCCTTTCTCCTCATTTTTAGAGGTGACTTAGGTACTGGTTAGCACGGTGGGGTAAAGAAGAAAATGTTGACAGGAAAGCCAAAAGGTAATGAAGACCCCAACTTAATCAAATATTATATTTAGGCTGTTGTCTGATCCCATTATCCTTCTCTGGCTTATTTAAAAAAGCCAACGACACCAGTGTGAGTTTGGAGGTTGCCTTTATTTCTACTTGAAATAACCCATAGTTATGAAAACGGGGTTTGTTTGAACAAGAGCGGACTCTGCTATGGTGGTAACATTCTGGGCAATGCTGCTAACTGGTCTGTACTTTTATTCTTATTCATTTTTTTTACAAATAGACTCTTTAATGATTATTTTAGAGACAGAGAGAGAGACAGAGCATGAGCAGGAGTGGGGCAGAGAGGGAGACACAGAATCCGAAGCAGGCTCCAGACTCTGAGTTGTCAGCACAGAGCCTGACGTGGGGCTCAGACTCACGAAGCTTGAGATCATGACCTGAGCCGAAGCCGGACACCCGACCGACTGAGCCACCGGGTGTCCCACCGGTATGTACTCCTAAGGTTGCTTCCCTGCATAGAAGGCATGACTGTCTGTGAGTCAGACACTACTGTGCATGTCCCGGTTTTCACTCTCCCTGTTGCCAGAACACCATAGTGTTTACCTGGGCTGGTGGACACGCAGAACAAAGGAATAACCCTTCTCTGCCTTCTCCTCGAGTGGAACCTGGTGACTCACTTTTGGCCAAAATGCTGAATGCAGATATGACACGGTAGCTTCCTCACAGGGCATGGCCGATATGCCATTTCCTCTCCTCCGCTGCCCGGAAAGAGACACTGTGACCTTGGGCCACGTGTTTGCAGCCACACAGGATGGAGACACTGTGGAAGAAGCTGGGGCTCGGGGGGGG